TGCAGACCCTAAGGTAATATTAAAGTCTCAAACTTTGTTTCCATAATGAATCCAAATCAAACTAATGTACATTGCCCAGTTAAATATTACTTTCAATTTTTGCCCACTCACTTACAATCGTCATGTTTCCATACATCTTCCTCCAACTCTCTCATCCCTGCTTCCCTGAACTTCCTGTCCAGTACAAGATCACAAGGAGCAGAACAGAATCCAGCAGCTATCCATCCACTAGCATGGAGGAAAGAGTAGAGGGGAGCAGGGGGGAGGGTAGTGGGTTGCCTTGCTGTGCCTGTATGCTTGTGGAGACACACACACACCTTACTAGCACACACAAGAGTGACTCCACAGGAGAGGAGGCACCCTAAAACAGAATATCAGGAGCAGTGCTCAGGGGACCAGCTGATTCTGCAGGAAACTAAAACCTTTAAATATCAAAGAGCAGCATCCATTGTTAATTATTTATTCAGCATTTGATATCGCTTAAAAACATTTTGACTTAGAATAAAACACTTCAAGGTAGGAGTTAGTGATATTTTTCCTGAAGATTACAGTAAATAGAGTGAAGCTGACCCATACACGGCTAGAATTTCTAACAATTCCTGTAAATCATGTAGGTGGCTCTTTTGAACCCACCAGGCTTGTCAAAAATTGAAGGAACTGAGTGGAAAATTGTTGGCCAAATTGTGACTTCAGCCAAATCACTGTAGTCACCGCTTGGGTTTTCAGGCACCTGCGCTCCCATGGCTGCTTGAATAAAATTTACGTAGATGTAGGAATTGAAGCTCCACACAAATTAAAATAGTCCAGATATAACTTTATTCCATTAGGATCAGGGAACATTCACAAAACATACACAATGCACAAAACACAAGGGAACATCGCAACTCAAAGGAAGAAGCCGCACACTGCAGTCCACCAATAACAGCATTTTAATCCATAATGCTAAAGATGGCCTGTGCGCTGAGATCTAGAAGCCGCCCACACTGACGCATTTCACCCATTTAGGGCTGCTTCTTTCTTTGAGTTGCTGTGTTGGCGTATGGATGGCTCCCAGCCTGCACCTATGTGTTTGGGTGTTGGACGGAGCGGTGATGCCTTCTTTGTACTAGTGCAAGAGAACATTGGTATTACAACACAATAGTACCAAAATGGCTTTCTCGTTCTAAACATAAGTGGAAGTTATGGGAATAGTAGAATTATAAGAAATGATTGCAATAAGATAAAAGGGTATTTGACGCATCAGAAATGTAGGGCAATGCATAGAAAGTAGATAATTATAATTAAAGGATTAATTGATTCTTAACAAAAGGAAAAAAATAAACATGTATGGCCTGCTTAAAGGAGAACTATGAGATAAGTGATTTCCACTCACCTCATAGTTCTAGCCGACCTGTGACAATGAGACTGTCACAGGTCGGCTCAGTAGATCGGGAGGTGAGCGAACAGATACTGGCGTTCGCTCACCTCTCGATCCTGTCACGGCTCTCTGCCGTGACAAAGGGGAGGGGCTGGATTCCCCCCGCTCCGATCCGCTAGCGCTGACTGACGGAACGGACGGGGGAGGGGGCGGGTACAGCTGGCTCTGCCTCTAGATAGGCAGAGCCAGCTGTCACTCACGCTGCGGCGTCTCAGTATACCGCGAGCTGCAGCTCGCGGTATACTGAGCTTAGGGTAACGGGAGGACGCTAGTTTGTGTCCTCCCGTTACCCTAAGGAGAACTATGGGGAAAAGCCCTGACCCCATAGTTCTCCTTTAAAGGTAAAAAAGAGTCTGAATCATGATGAAAAACAGCTGCAAAGATGAGTCATTCTAAGTTGATTGATAGCAGTATGTGTCCGCTCTGGTGAAAGTTTAAAACGAAACAAGAGGCAACAAAACCCACAGAGACATTGCAGAATGATTTGATGCATTAAAGGGAATGCCCTTAAAAATGACTATGTGATTTACATGACCCAGCGGCTCTGTGAGCTCATAGGTTTTCCATCATTCAATCAGAAAGGGAAATCATTTTAATGATGCAGGCTTCCTTTGTAAGTCTGGGCCCAGCATAAAACCTAGCACCATTCTGGATATCATTTCATGATGTAGATAAATACATCAGAAGGTGCTCAGTCGTATTTTTGATATTTGATTTTTCCGAGATTGTGTTTTGTAATGAATATAGATTTACCATGCAAGATGAGTTTTAAGAAGCTTTATTTTTTTTGCCAAGTCCCTTTGTCACAGCCAATGGCCCTGTACTCAGCTGGTGTTCACAGTAGCGGTAATGGCTAGCAAGCACCTGTGATATGTTCCAGCATTGCCAATAAAAAAAAAATTGACAGCTAGAATTATTTCAGCAAACAGTGTAAAAATAGAGACGTGTCGTTAAAAAAAAGGATTGAACATAATGGAATAGAATGTCAAGGATATACAAAAATAAATTGGTCTTCAAAATAAATATTTTGGTAAAAAAATATTTTTTTTGCCCATTATTTTACATTGTTTTGTGTACATTGTTTTTGTGGGTTGCACAAAATCTACATAGGGCTCTACCTTACTTTAAAAAAAAATTCTATGGTCTAGAGCAGGGGTAGCCGAACTCCAGCCCTCCAGCTGTGGTGAAACTACAAATCCCATGATGCATCTCTCTCTGGGAGTCATGTCTGTGGCTGGGAGAATCTTGCAATGCCTCATGGGATTTGTAGTTCCACCACATCTGGAGGGCCAGAGTTTGGCTACCCCTGGTCTAGAGCTTTCCAGGTCATTTTTACATCCTGCTGATCAGGGTCATCGGTAGACTGAATAAGCATCCCTTTACGTTCTCCCAAGAGTTCCCTCTAGTGGCAGGGGTTTATTTACATCCTGGCCTACCAGGATGTAAATAAAAGCTGGAAAGCTGATGGTTGTGGTATGGAGGAAACTTTTGATACCTTTTAGACTTGAGGCCTTTTTAACCTTTTTGTACAGTATGTAATAATCTGCTCTTTAAGCCAGTGTTTGCAAACATTACATCCTCTGTACTTTCTCCTTTAAATCTGATTGGCTAGATTAGTTAGGTCTTCATATTACATAGATTTGGTAAATCTAAAGTTGAATTGTACCGTGTTTCCCCGAAAGTAAGACACTGTCTTATATTTTTTTGGCTCAAAAAAACACACTAGGTCTTATTTTTGGGGTAGGTGTTATTTTTATTATTTTTAATGTACAACAATCCACACTTATTCATGTACAACAGTCTACATGTATTCATGTACAAAAATATGGTGATCAGGGGTGCCGTACCTTTCCAAGAGCAATTTGCTAACCAATCGCTGGCTGAATGAGCGAAGCGCACTTTCACTATGGATTCCTCAGAGGCCGAGTGCATTTGGTATCACACCGCCTGTGACAGGAGCCGGCGCTATAGAGGAAGCTCCCTCTGCTGCCGCCTCGCTTCTTCTAGCGCAGGCTTCGTTGGCACTGCTGATTCTCTCCTGCCTCTCCCGCGGCTCTTCAAGTTCCCCCTTATTCCACCACCGGCCCTGGGAATGGTCACCCATAGGTCTTATTTTTGGGTTAGGTCTTATATTTTAGCAATTCCCAAAAATAGTACTAAGTGTTATTTTCGGGGACACAGGGTAAAAAGGTTGTACAGTCAGCTTGTAACATGAATGGTGACCTTCATGGACAGGTGGTAGATTTCGGCCCCAGCAGGCAACAACAGCAACTCCTTTATTTCTTATATACACATGCTTTTATTAGGCAAGTGCCCCATGCCCTGGGAATTTCAAGTGCCATAGAAAATGTCCGGAATTATCAGCTTGCAGAGGTGGGGTGTTATGTGCAAGTTACTTACCTCCAGGGCATCCTTCACTCAAAGCATGGCACAATCTTTTCTCTCCTTGCTGTTTACCATGTTACTGCATGCTTCCAGCTCCTTCGCTGTGCAGCATGTTGGGTAGTTAGGAAACTTTCATAGTTGGTCTGATTTAATTCAAATGATACAAACCAGAGTGCAGGGTTTGAAAGCGTGTGGGCAGAGGCTGAATAGCAGGGAGAGTTGAGATTTTGCAGCAGCATAATATCTAGGGAAGGATGCTATAAAGCCTGGGTGCTCAACCTGCAGCCTAAGGGTCACATGCTTCCATTTGGTGTTTGAAGTGCGGTCATTGGGCCCCCGCAGTCAGCAGTTGAAGAATTGATTTTGTAAATGGGCCTTTAATAATAGTAATCTTTAGCAGTAAAATTTCCCCAATCTCTGACTCTCCCCTACATCATGACTTCAATCTCCACCCATGCCTGTGAAGCAGTCTCTGACAATTTCTTCTAGTACGTCTCCAGACTGTGACAGTAGTCTTCTATAGCATTACATATAATACAAAATTGTATGGGTCCCTTTGGAGACATTGGCGGCCAAATTTGAAGACGCCTGTACCTTGTAAGTCGACAACCAATGCTATAAGGTAGGTATTCTGTAACTATATGTTACTCTAATCCCCCCCCCCTTTCAGAGTTGTAGAACTATGCCTCCTGGAATTGCCTCTGCTGAACAAATCATGCACATTTCTCTCTCAGCCTGCTAGACCCAGCAGTCATTTCTCCTTTAGTGAAAGCTTATTTGCATGCATTTCACATGGAGTATTTTTTTTTTTTTTGTTCATGTCAGAAAATGCCAGCTGGAAGTTGGTTGCTATCAGTAACACTCCGCTTTCACCTTCCACCGCCGTTATAGCAGACCCGTATTTTGAGATCATTCATATGACGTGTAATACAACCTGATCCAGATTGTGTAAATAAGCCATCTGCATCCTGCCTGGCTGCTAGAATCTTTTAATCCCTAAATTGACATCCTAATCATTTTATGGGGTTTTTTTTTTTTTTTTTT